CAAGTGGGATTAAAATTGGGGAGCATTTATATTGTGGTTCTATTGCACGTCCGTATATTATTCGCCTCAATCTCACTCGATATCCTGCAACTCCAGCACCATCATCATCATCAAGGAATTAAAGCTCACAATCGGTTTTAATTATGTATTATCAACGATCTATTTTCTTTCCTCGAGTGACGTAATATTCATCAATAAAGTTCTATTATTAGTGTCTTGTAAATTTAAGATTTTTGCGACTTCGACAGTAGCAGTATATTTTGGAGACTACAACAAAAAGAGCTATTTATAGTATTTCATAATAGCGTTTTCGATCAAACTGCTATTATTTATAATATAATATAAATATAAATAAATTATATAGAGAGAGCAATGGAAAATATTGGGTGCAATATTTTTCCTTTTGGGCGGCCGCCAAAATAATTGAATAGCTAAATACATTTACGCATCTTATCTACTCACTCACGCCGAATCTCTCTATACCGGCCCCTACATGTGTCTCCATTAATCCAACTTCAGACTCGCCATCTGCAGTGAGGGTGAGTTTGGTATGGCAGCTGTACAAAACCCCCTTGAATCACTACCATTACCGAAATCTCAGTATTATGAAATTCATTATCATTGCTCTACCAAAAGTTTCGGTATACCAAAAATTCGGTCCGGTACGGTATGATAATGGTAATTACCAATACTATTTGCGTCAATATTGAATATAATTTTTTCAAAACAATTCATGGCATATAAATGTTTAAAGTTTTCAAAACTAGTATTCAAGAGATAAGCATTACGAAGATATGTTTTTAACTTATCTAATATAAAATACTTCTTAAATATAATTCTAACATAAAAAATCTAATGTAAACTATATCATCATTAATAAAAGGGTTCAAAATATTTTTGACAAACCTAAAAATTACAACTAAATTTAACTAATAGGAGTTACTTAACTACTATCTTCTTCTTAACAGAAAAAAAAGATACTGTCTTCATTTTTTATATAAAATAAATTAATTATTAAAGTATAATTTTATTTATTAATAATATTTTGGTATGGTGTGGTAATGCCGTTTTAATAATTTTGAGTATGGTTGCCCTACCAAAAAATTCGGTACGGTACGGTATGGTGTTGAGCGTATATTTTACACTCAATGTATACTTTCTTACGAGGATTTTTGTATACTTTTATTGATTTAATGATGCTTAATGAGCGGTTTATTGTATTTTAGGTACAACTTGACGATTTGGGAGTTCCAAGGATGAAACGAGCCAAAAAAAGGTCAAAACGGGCAAAAACGGAAGAAAACAGTCGGGTGCTGAAAATTGGCCGGCGCGGCCGTGCCAAATTTAGCCTATTTTTTGCGCGGCCGCGCCAAATGTAGAAGTTGGGCAGAAGGTTTCGGCGATTCTCGCGCGGCCGTGTGAGAATTGCACTGATTCTCGCGCGGCCGTGTGAAAACACGCTGAAGACAATTTTGGAGTTTTTAATCACACAAGAAAATCTAAAATCTTCTACCAAATTGGGACATCTATTTAAGGACAAACCAAACACGAATTAAAGGACTTTTCGAACACAATCTTAGAGGAAGAGGAGCGAGAGAACGGAGAAACGAAGACGAAGACCTGACGAATCTTCATCATAATTCTTCTTTCACCTATCTATTTTTAATCTATGTC